TGACTTGCCCCCCAGTAAAGGAAAGTCGGTGATTTGGGTGGTGGTTGATTTGTTTTCCAAACAAGCGCATTTCATCCCCTTCCCCTCACTGCCTACAGCACAACGACTGGCTAAAGCTTTCCTATCTCACGTCGTACGCCTCCATCTTCTACCTTCTAAGGTGATCTCCGATAGGGGTACACAATTCGTTTCTAAATTCTGGAAAGAACACATGAACATCATGGGGGTGGAGCAAGGACTCAGCAGTGCTTACCACCCAGAAACTGATGGCCAAACCGAACGGGTTAACCAAACCCTGGAGCAATATTTGCGTTGTTATACCAACTTTTTGCAGAATGACTGGTCTGATTTGTTGCCTTTGGCTGAATATTGCTATAATAACAGTTTACATTCTTCCATTGGGATGTCGCCTTTCAGGGCGGTATATGGCTATGACAGCCCACCCCTTCCTCTCCTGGGGGGGGGAACCTCTGCAGGGGGGTGATGCGGTGGAATGGTGTAAGTCTTTGCAAGAAGCATGGCCTTTATTATGCCAAACCTTGGAGGCTGCAAAAGCCGCGTATAAGGCTCAGGCTGATCGTGACAGGGTGGTGGGTTGGGGTCTTCAGCCTGGTGATTATATGTATGTATCCACGAAAAACATTAAAATGCTGAGGCCTAGCAAGAAATTGGGATGGAAATACATTGGTCCTTTTAAGGTACGAAAGATCATAAATGATGTGGCTGTTGATGTGGAATTGCCTAAAAACTTGAGATCCTTACATCCTGTATTTCATTTTAGACTCCTTAAAAAGGATACCGGTCAATCAAAGTGGCGACCTGTACGTGAGCCGCCTCCCCTTGTGTTGGTGGAGGGCCAAGAACATTTCGAAATTGCTGACATCTTAGATTCCAAACTGAAGCGTGGTAAACTGTGGTATTTGATCGAATGGATTGATTTCGGACCCCAGCACCAGGAATGGGTGGAAGAAGGGGATATTCGGGCCCCTTATATGCTCAGAGACTTTCACAAGAGGTTCCCGGACAAACCGGGAGGTCTCCCGCCCAAACCGGGAGAAGGTGGTTAGAGGTGATTTTAGGGAGGGCAGTATGTCAGCGAGCTGCCATTGAGTGCTGTGTAACCTGGCAGCCTTTTGGCTGCGATTCCCCTCCCTTCCCCCCTTCTGGTAGTTCCTTTCACTTCTCTGTAACTTAGGTCTGCTTGCTGCTACAGATAATGCCCAAGGTCGACAGCTGGAGGTGGGAAGGAGTTTTGGTGTCGCTTCGCTTATTATGTATTCTTTGCCTGAGAACTGAGCTTGTGTTTATAATATGGACCGTTGTGTTCCCAAGGGATGAGGCGCTCATTTAACCTGCTTTCCCACACGTGGGAAGTGGACCCATTGGTCAAGACCTGGTTCAAGTTCGTTTATTAGTGCCTGTAGTTATTCCTAACAATTCTTGTGTTCCTGTTTGCTCCATCGCTTTGTAATAAAATTCTACTTTGCTTCAAACGTGGATTTATTCGAATGCTTTGGGATCGGACACTAGTCAAGAGAAGTAATCTCTGCCCAGTGAAAAGGCAGATAAGTCTTAAAAGAGGAGTGATCCCTTGTCTGTGTAGAGAGAAGGATTTTGGGAACTTGTTTGTACATTCCTGCCTTCTAAACATGAAATGTCAGTGAAACTCAGAAACCTATGCTTGCAAGTTAAAGGAGACACTGAAAATAAAGCCTCTCTTTTCAAAGTTTCAAAGACCTTGTTGAAAAGCAAGAACTCTTACTTGTTGACAATATATTAGCTGGATTTAGTGTGACTACAAAGTTCCTTCAGTTTTTATTATTGGTTCACCTCATACATCCTACCCCTGAATACACCTGACCTTTCCCCCTCCAAATTAAATAAACAATTTTGCTTATTTTTGAACTCATTCAATACCTACATGCGCCCCCTCGCCCATATTATCTGGAGGTATAGGCTGGGGTGTCGCCAGTATGCAGATGACACCCAGCTCTATCTACTGATGGACGGTCACCCGGACACGGCCCCTGGAGATCTGGAGGAGGTGTTACAGGCCATGGCTGGATGGTTGCATCAGAGCCGACTGAAGCTAAATCTATTTAAGACGGAGGTCCTGTACCTTAGTCGCAGGGGATTGGGACAGGGGATCAGGCTCCCAGCCTTCGATGGGGCTCCATTGGTCCCGACCGAGGGTAAAGAGCCTGGGGGTGTTCCTGGATGCCTCCCTCTCTATGGAGGCCCAGGTCACAGCCACTGCCAGGTCTGCCTTCTTCCATCGGAGGCAGATCAGGCAGCTGGCTCCACACCTCACCTCCCAAGACTTAGCTACAGTGATCCATGCAGACTTCCAGACTGGATTATTGAAACTCTCTCTATGAGGGGCTACCGTTGACCCTGATCCGGAAGTTGCAGCTAGTGCAGAACACAGCAGCGTGGATGTTGACGGTGATGCCTGTGCAGGCACACATCCACCCAGTGCTGCGCAACCTGCACTGGCTGCCTATTAAATTCCAGATCCGTTTCAAGGTGCTGGTACTTAACTTCAAAGCCCTATACAGGCAGGGGCCAGCATACCTTCGAGACCACATCTCTCCATATGAGCCCCGTAGAGCACTAAGGTCCACCAATCAACATCTTTTGGTGGTCCCCAGCTTCAGGGACGTCTGACTTGCCTCAACCAGTACCAGGGCTTTTTTGGCCCTGGCCCCTGCCTGGTGGAATGAGCTCCCGTGTGAGATCAGGGTCCTGCGGGATTTTATTTATTTATTTATTTATTTTATTTGGGATTTATATCCCGCCCTACCCATACGGCCCAGGGTGGCAAACAAGCGGCAACGCCGGAAATAAAACATAAATTACAATAAAACCTTAATAAATACAAACTAAAATGGTGCTCTACAATTCATTTAAAAATTCAAGATGGTCGATGTCCCTCACTGGCGGCCAATGATATAGAAGCAGGAACGCCAGAGTAATGTTCCTCTTGTGGGCAACGTCAGCCCCTGCCCAAAGCCAGGTAGATGGCAAATCAAGCCACGGTGGTGGTATAGTGGCGGCGGCGGCTCCTACTCGAAAGCCTGGCGGAAGAGCTCCGTCTTGCAGGCCCTGCGGAACTGTACCAGGTCCCGCAGGGCCTGGATCTCCACCGGGAGCTCATTCCACCAGGTAGGAGCCGCCACCGAAAAAGCCCTGGCCTTGGTTAGGGCAAGCTTGATATCCCGAGGGCCTGGAACCACTAGGAGGTCCAGACTCCCCGATCGCAGCGCTCTTGGGGGAACATATGGGGAGATTTATTACAATTCCGCAGGGCCTGCAAGACGAAGCCCTTCCACTGGGCTTTCGGTTGAGGCAGCGGGTGTTCCCCTCCTTGGGTCAGCCTCCATTTGTAGACTGGGTCTGAGATCCTAAACTTTATAGATCTTTGGGAAATTTAATTGCTAGTACCATTGAGATATCTGGCTTTTTACTAGAGCTGTATGGCATATATGAGTTATGTTATTTTATATTGTGTTTTAATGTGGTTTTAATTGTATTGTATTTTATGCTGTTGGAACCCGCCCTGAGCCCATTAAGGGGAGGGAGGGATGTAAAACCAAATAAATAAATACTTTCAAAAGCCTCTTGCTGTCATGCCTGCCCCTGACGTGTCTACAGAAGCAGAGCCTGACAGCCAGGAACAAGTGGACTTGGCACCTTTAACTGAGGAAAATGTAAGTCCTGAGGAGGATAGAACTCCCCAGGAGACACCTGCGTCTGATCAGGCACTGCCTGGCCCAAGTGGATCACCACCCGAATCTCCCCCACCTGTTAACCGGGTCAGAAACCAAAGACGACAGGAGCTGAATGAAAGAAGGAAGGCTGCACACATGCGCAGTCGATGCTCATTCAGTCCTGAGTTTTGACAGCAGCCTGGACCTTGTTTCAAGGAGCTAATGAATTAATGAGCCAGCACACTATTTCAACAAACCTGGTGCTTTGAGCAATTCGTGCTGGCAACTTCGGTTGACAGAACCAGGCACTCTGTGCGACCTTGCTTCGGATCCTTTGACTTCTTGGCAGTTTGTCACTCGGCTTCGGAACTCTGGCTTCTTGACCCTCGGCATCGTGTTTTGACTACGGCTTTGGCTCTGCGTTTATCTGACTTCACCTGATTTATGGACTCTGACCTCCGGTACGTCTGACTCTGGCTGTGTGAATTGTTTAGGACTTGTTTAAACATTTTACTGACAAACTCTTGGCTGAATCCCGGACTGATTATTGGACTTGCTTTGGTTAATCTGCGCTCCCTGGCTCTGCCTTGACACTTGCGTAGAATATTAGCAGGTGATTTTTGTCTTTTCCCTCAAGTCCCTGGTTTGTCCAGCATCAAAATATATAATAATGTGACAAGGTGGGACAGCCATAGACCAGCAAATAAGAAGAAAATAGATATAGGGGCTGCTCAGCAAGAAAGAAAGAAGAAACAAATGGAAAATTCTGTGTGAGTGGGAGGGAAGAAGGTGAGATTGCCATAGCAGGTAACTGATTTTGGTTTATGGCCTCAGAGACTGATGGAAGACTGACACTGGCAGATGACTGATTGATGAATACTTTTTCTTTTGTCCCATAAATCAACCATTGGCTTGACAGAAGTAAAATGACTGGGGTGATAAATTGTTAGCCTTTAAAAAAAATGGATTCCTGCAGATTCAACACAGATTCTTGATTCTGATATGCCACATTTTGAGGTATACCAATTTTTGTTCATTTTGGGTGCATGTATCTAAGGCAGGCATTTGTCAATAAAACAGGAAGTACAACAATACTGAAGGAAAATAGCTTTCACTATTCTTATCCAGAAATATTTAACTTTGAATCAAATAACTGAGATAAAGTGATTGGTAAATACCATAATGCAAATATTGTGAAAATGCCTCAGTTATTACAGAAGTAAATAAGATGACTGCAGCAGAATTTATTGCCAAAATAGATGCTGTAATGCGTTGTACTTTATCCTACAGGAGGTTGAACTCTGTCGTGTTAGCAGCCAAGAAAAACTGGGGTTGACTGTCTGTTACCGCACAGATGATGAGGAAGATGCAGGAATCTATATCAGTGAGGTAAAGATCTGGTAACAGAAATAAAAATAAGCATTCCATAGTTTGATTGGAAAAATTCTGGCTGTTTGTTGTCCACTGAAATTAGCAGATATAATTATGTCAACTGAGCTATATAATTGTTATTACTAGCTTGTTTGTTTAATATAAATACTTCAAACACAGCAGCAGCATTAGGGGGGAAATGCCCCAAAGGTTTGAATGTTCCCTGAAATTCAAATAGCTGGAGCCTCTTTCTTTAATTCCTTATATCTCTGGTAGTGTTTGCAAAAATTGGCCTGTGTCCATGGTCAGCCTTCTGCCTGAAGCTAATTGATAAATAAAAAAGTGATATTTTCTTGCAGCTGGATGTTTCTTTAAAAACGGAAAGTGTGAAATTGTTGATCTCCTAAGAAATAGACATAATTTGTCAGTAAAATCTGCCTTCTAACCAAAGAATTAGAAAGTATAAAGATTTTTTTAAAAATTGGGAATTAAGGGGAAAGCCTGGAAATTACAAGGTAGTTTACCTCACATTGGTTACAGGTGAATTGATGGAAAGCATTAGTAGAAGTAGAAGTATTAGGCATGCTGAAGAAAATGGCTTCTACAAAGGGAAAGCTTGCCTTATCAATCTTTTGGAGTTCTTTGGGAGTATTAACAAGAATGCGCATAAAGGAGATCTAGTTGATACAGTTGGATATCAAAAAAGCTTTTGACAAAGTACCTTGCCAGATATTGTGTAATCCTAGATGTCACAGAATAAGAGGATACATAATTCTATGGTTTACCCACTGGTTAATCAACAGGAAGTATAAGGTAACGGTCATATATCACAACAAAAGGGAGGAAGCAGTGGGTTTCTGAGGGCAAATGATCTTAACTTTTTCAGAAATGGTAAAATGAACGATGATATCAGATTATTCAGGATACTGAAAAGAAAGCAGGGTGTGAAGAATTCCAAGAGGATCTTCTAAACTGGGTTTCTTCCAGGACTGTACAACTAAGTGAGCTTATCTGAAAGACTTTCCAAGCTTTCAGGTAAGCCTTTTATAAATGACAGCACATAGACTCAGAATACCTAAACTGCACAACCCATGTAAGGATTATGCCAGTTCTTATGTTTATTAACACTAGCTCAACAATGTAGTAGAATCAATACAGATGGAAGTGAATTGGATAAATTGACCAACAACCAATAATATTGTCCTTTTAGATCATACATTAAGATTTGATAAAGCAATCCTCTACTTGTATTCATATTTTTAAAAAGCTTCCATTCCCATATTATGGTTTAATCCTGTTTGGAATCACTAAGCCTTTCCCTTCATTTAAGTGGATGTAATTATGTTGTCTTTCATACCTGATTAAACACTTCAAAATCATTTTCTCTCTAGCAATGCACAATGTGGTATAGCTAACATCTACTTGGAAATGTTTGGCTTGAAAAATAGTTCTTACCATGACAAGGTAAAATGAATGAGTTACTATCAAGAAAAAGGTGATAGATAGTATTGCCCCTTTGAACAGTTGGTCATTATTTAAGAACAGCTATAGTGGCTCTGGGGAAGCGGGCAACTTTAATGGAGCCCTAAATATCCATTTAGGGTAAAATGAAAGTTAAAAGAGTTAAACCAAGATTCATTATGTAATTATCAATGCAAAAGAATTTGTATTTCCTTTACCCTTCTATTTTACTTTGTGTTTATCCTGCTAGGTAAAATGCTGGTCCATAAATATTTTATAAAAACAGAAAAACTTCTTTTTGCCTACTACTTGCAGAAGCACACATCTGTTAGGCAGTAGGCTTACTTGTTATTGCTTCTCAAGCATCACCCTTATTTTTTGCCTATGAATCCTGCCATTAATACTGCATTTCACACGAGTTGTAAGCTTATGATTCTCGAACACCACCTCTTTCTAGAAAGCGCATTTCCAGCTCAAATAGAGCAAGGAAGACATTGTTGCCCATCTCCCTGGAGAAAATTAAAGAACCAGACGTGTTGAGGAGTAGTAATGGCAGCAGTTTAATGCAGCCATTCAGTTACTGGGACAGTTACTGGGAAGGCATACCTGTTTAAAGCCGTCCTGTCTTTCCAAAATGTGATTTTTACAGTAGAGTTTGGAGTTTTGAGACAAGGTATTCACCTAACTTGAAATGAATATGAAACTTAGTACTTCAGTAAATTCTAAAAGGTGATGGATATTTGCCAAGTTTTTAGAGTTAATATTGGGATTTTTACCCTATGTAGATTGATCCAAACAGTATTGCTGCCCGAGATGGACGGATCCGCGAAGGAGATCGGATTTTACAGGTATGTTACTATAAGCCTTGTTTCCTACTCCAGTGCTTAACAAAGAGTATACTCCATGGTTTATATGTATAATTAATAATCATTTCTGTCTCAACATCCGTTCCAGAGTAGAGAAGTTATATAACCATTATAGACTGGTTGTTTTACTGTAGCATAGGGTTTTACTGGAAGAGACAGTAATGCTAGGAAGAGTTGAAGGCAGCAGGAAAAGAAGAAGACCTACCATGAGATGGATTCAGTAAAAGAAGCCATGGCCTTCAGTTTGCAAGACCTGAGCAAAGTTGTTAATTATAGGATGCTTTGGAGCAGGGGTCATTTTGTAGAAAAAGAGGTGCAGGAGCTCATTAGCATAACTCATTAGCATATCTTATTTGCATATGCCACACCCCCTGACATCACTGGGAGTGTGTCAGAAGGCAACACCCACCGCTTAAGCTCCACTGGACTGTTTTGGATTGCTAGCTATTGGGGGGGGGAGGAACGTGCAGATCTGTCCTCACAGAGGAGGGAGAGCTTGTACCTGAATAGAACTTGGTCTTAAAGGTGCCACTGGACTGTTTTGGACTGGGAGGCTGGGGGGAGCTCTGCAACTTATCTGGCTGCTTCTTGCTCTGACTGTGGGCCGCTGGGAGCAGGGGGTGGGGCTTGTTGCATGTGCCTGCCCCCTGGGCTGTTTACTGCCGGAGCTCAGCTCCTGTGCGCTCCTGCAGGAAATGACCCCTGCTTTGGAGGTTATTAATGTATAGGGTCACCATAAGTTGGAAGACAGTTGATGGCACTTAACACACACACACACACAAGGAGGGCCTGGCATGATGTGGTCCATGGGGTTGCGAAGAGTTGGACTCAACTGTGAACAAAAACAACAACAACACCACACACAAGGTTCCATAGACAAACTTTTATAAACACCAGATATATGAAGTATCTAGTTGTATTTGAGATCATGTTTTTCACAGAGTATTTCATATGAATTTTACTCACATCTCAGCTAATGTTTATATGCAGGATTTCTCAGTTCATTCATTGAATCATAGAGAGAAAAACTGCTGCTTGTGAAAGTTCCCCTTCCCTTTTTACCTGGTCACCACTACTGATAAATTGCTGGTTGTTACAAGAGCATGCAATTGTCATGTTTGCTTGGATAAATTTCAGTTTGAGGATTGAACAGAGTACTTGGGGAGATCCATGCCGCAACCTCCCTCCCTTAACCTTACCTTTCTTGACATATCAAGCTGTAGGGTAGGGATCGCGAACACTTTTGAGCCTGAGGGTACCTTTGGAATTCTGACACAGTATGGAAGGTACAAGCACAAATTGCAGGAATTGGAGCCAACCAGAAAATGTCTGTCATGGGAGGTGAAGCCTACCACAAAACGTCAGGGAATGAAGTTACTCTGATAATAACTCTTCAGTATTTCAGGCAGAAACTCTGTTTAATAGGATGCCTTTTAAAATGAACATATCATTTAAAAATATTTTCATGCGTGCGAACACAATATTGTGTTGAAGTTCCTTGTGCTGTGGTAACAGCTGTTGCTGTAGCAACTTTTTAAAAATTACACAGTTGATCAGCTCTCCAGTAGCCAATCAGAAGCCCAGCTGGGCAAAGGCCCCACCTGGTTCCACCCACTTTCTCAAAACTCTTGGCAGGTGCCAGGAAAGGTGTTGGACACTGTAGTGCCTGTGGGGACCCCTGCTGTAGGGAACTGATTGGCTGGATCCAAGAAGCAGTGAATGCCTCTTTGAGAGATTAATAAGGCACAAAACCAACCCTAAAGAGCCCCTCCCCTGGAATGCCAAGGCTTTTTATGTCTGTTTCATCTATCTTTATCTCACCCTTCCTCCAGAGAGCCTAGAGATTGTGTACGTAGGGTTTTATTCCCCCCCATTCAATGTTAGGTTTACAACAACCTTAAACTGAAGACTGAAAGAGTCAGTGGTCCAGTAAGTTTCATAGCTGAGTAGTGATTTGAACTGGTATCTCTCAGTTCGCATCCAACACTCTAGCCACTATGCCAGACTACACTTCTGATAGAACACACCAAACCCTGCATATCATGTGAGATCTCCCCGTCTGTCATAATGCATGCAGTGGCTAATGAGAAAGTTGTTCCTGTCACCAGGCCAACCAAGGCATTACTTCTTTACTAGGGAACTGGCTAGTTATCTACTCCTATCCAAGAGCAGCAACTAGCACTTCCATGGTAGTTTGTTTCTGGCCCATTCACTTCTGTTGCCTTTGGAACCACGTGGTTGGATACAGGCCATAAAAACTGCATTTGAAGATCCAGGAAAGCTAGAGAGTGTGCCTGCAAAACTGAACATATAAAAACTTCAGACTGTAATACAGTTTTCTCTAGCAAGGTCTTTTTCAAGGTCTACGAGCCATAAATATCCTAAGAAGAATGTGCAGGAGGGTTTGCTCTGCTACACAGCAGGCTGAGAACTTGATATGTTAGAAGACGGAAGGTTTGTTTCTAAAACCTATACATGTTTATTTAATACATTTTTGGCAATGCTGATGTCAAAAGCATAAAATTTAGAATTCCTCTCAAGCATTCTAATACTTTTCATTTTTGCTCCTGACCACTATTATCTGTGTGTGTACTTGCCAATTATTCTTTGGAGATGTTTGGGTGAATTTTCATTCACTTGTCTAGCAGTGCTTGTTGGCAATGGCAAGTTGGTTTTGTACAAACCTCCCTATAATTGCTATATATTAATTCAGCTTGCATGAAAGCCCACGGAATGTTTCAAGATCAGTCTGATTCCATCCCAACAGTTCTTTCATTTCCTCAGGAAACATCTTTGCTGAAAACATAGCTTTATTTCTTACTGCACTATCAGATCAGGGAATCAAACAAATCTCTGGAACACAATAAAAACTGCAAGTTACCTGAATGAAACAGCCCTTACTCTGAAGGAAAATTATAAGCCATGGTTGAGTATGAAGGCTTGTGCTGGGATACGTTATTTTATTTCTTTGTCTTGTAGAGAATATGAAAAAAGGCTTCCTAGTATCCAAATTGTAGAGTAAAAATTACTTATATCTCAGTACCTTACTTTGATTGGATGTTTGAGTGATATGAATTTTAGATGCACCAGAATTGAAAAGCAGTGGGCCATGTAACAGATCTGTCCGTGTCACTGCACAAGTTTTTATATTCAGGGTACTGGCTTTATATACTCTGTGCTTTAAAAAAAATTACCAAGATAACCAAGGTCTGTACCAGGGCAGAATAATCTGTATAAACTATGTAAACTAAACTTAGTCACACACATTTGCATTTTTTGCTTTGTCTAGTTCTAGAGAGAAGCTCCGACCCCTCTTTGCCTTTTGAGACTTCATTAAATATTGTCCACGTACATGCTTATGCAAAGCATAGGACTAGCACCTTGGGGTTTTTTTAAAAAAAAAATGAAAGTGCAAATTGCTGGAATATTGAATTCTGCCACAGTTACCAAAATCTGTGGGCTTTGTGCTTATAGGACAGGCTTTTTTCCATGATATTTTCCTTGAATGTATTGGAAGGTATAGGTACAGCATACACTGAATACCTTTTATAATTTGCCTTGATGCCTAAATAATCTGTTGGGACTAATGATGGAGAAGTCCAAATACAGGGGAAAATATGCTAGAAGAGACAGGGCTTTTGGCAAATGATATATCTGTTGTATATGTGGCTGTGCTAATATATGGGCAGGAGTCTGATAATTAAGATTATCACAAAATTAATGGGGGGTTGTCTTTCACACTGGACAATGTACTGGCTCCCTGCCTACCCTTGAGATAAATCAGAGGAATAGAATTTGGCAATCTTATTTTGCAAGGATGACGTTAAAGTAATTGCAAGATTTTAGTGATACAGAATTTTCTGAAGGACAAGTGAAGTCTCTGGAAACCCAGTTACTTCTTTCCGGGTTTTTCTCCCAACAAAATATCCTGTATTTTCCTTATAAGCTTCCGTTAGCATGATTTATGTAGTACTTTCTGCAGTATGAGATATAAATTTGTTATATTTGTATATTAGGATTCTGGTTGCAGTTCAGTCCTGGATTATGGTTGTACTTCAGTCCCTTTGAAATTGATGGTGGGGAATCCAGTCGTTCTAGTAGATCTGAATTACAGCCACAAAATAAAACTATAAAGGCCCTTGTAAAATCCTATTTGAATCCACAGACACCTGTGTTTGTTCTGTTGCTTATGTAGAATCACTGACATCTCTGTTTCTATTCATGGCAGGGTGGCTGGGTTTAGTGGTCTCAGTAGCATAAGGTATCGTTAACAGGACTGTGATCCAGGGTGCGATTAAATGAACCAACTACTTAATTGTAAAAGATGACTGTTGTTCAGGGTTTGTTTGATTTACTTCACATTTATATTTCTGAATAAGTAAAAAGAGTAAGCCCTCAGAGATTTTGACTAGAGTTTGAGGGTATATATAGCACCTAGTGATGCGGTCCACGCTGGTGTGACAGGGTGTTTTGTTTTGTTTGTTTTTTGTGATGGTACTAACCATTACTGAACACCTTTTTGGAAGGCTCTCTTGTCAGGATCCAACTACTTAATTGTAAAAGATGACTGTTGTTCAGGGTTTGTTTGATTTACTTCACATTTATTTTTCTGAATATGTAAAAAGAGTAAGCCCTCAGAAATTTTGACTAGAGCTTGAGAGTATATATAGCGCCTAGTGATGTGGTCCATGCTGGTGTGACAAGATATTTTGTTTTGTTTTCTTTGTTTTTGTGATGGTACTAACCATTACTGAACACCTTTTTGGAAGGCTCTCCTGTCAGAATCTATGTGCACCTGTGTGCCCTATTCAGCCAAAGGAAGAGCGAGTGGACTTTCAGGTAATGGCTCATTTAGAGCTAAGCCTTTGTTGCATTCCTAATACAGAGTATCCACTTCCTCAGACTTCTGCCAAATCCTTTCCATCAAACTTACCCTGTGGGATGACAGTGGCAGGAAGTCCTCCCACCCGTAGAGGCATCAGGCTTAAGGCTTGAACAGAATATTCACAGATATTTTCTTGCAAAGAAGATGGAACTTGGTGGTGATGCCCACCTGCAATCTCTCTGCTAAGGCCCTGACCCATGGGCGAAAAGCCATCCCCTCAGGGCCCTGCTGCAGTGCAGAGGCTAGTGCCCAGTCCAGCCCTCAAATCGGGTATGACATATCTGGTGTCCTGGAAGGGCTTGAGGCCACACACCATTTGAAATATATATTTTTTAGTTTTGCTAACAAACAAAAACAAACAAGAACAAACAAACAAGAGATAGAGGATAGACAGACAGACTACAATTATACATAAATGACCGTCTTTCATGAACACAAACATAAGCACTAGGGATGGTCATGGACCAAAATATTGAGGTTCATGGGGGTTCAGGGTTCATGGGTTTCATGAACCACAAACATTTCCATTTTATGAATTAATTCATGGTTCATGAGTTTTCTGATGGAGGGCTTGCAAAAACCATTTAAAGGGATGTGTTCCCCACCACAACCACTGTGGTGATGCCATGCGGAAGTCAACTCAGAAGACATTTGAGTGCCTTTTGAAGGCATTTAAATGCCTTCTTAGTCCACTTCCACATTGTGTCGCCACCGCAGCACAACGCAAGGTTGCTCAGAAGGCATTTGTTTGTTAATTCAAAATGTCTTTTTTTAAGGTATTTTACTTTTTTCTGCACTTCTACTTCTAACAAATCCAATTGGTTTTAAGTTGTTTCATCTCAGCTTGTTCTTATTACCAGTGGTTTTGAATTCTTGTTCCAATACCATTGTTTTATCTGTTATTTTCTTTATGGAATCTTGTTTTTCTTTTTTCTTTCTTACAGTTATTGCCAATAAAGTTCCCCTGATATAAGCCTTGCTGGCTTCCCATATTGTTGATTATGTAATTTTATTAGTATTGTTAACATTGAAGTATTCTGTTAGATCTTTCTTGCATTGTTATTTTACTTCCATCTTGTAGTAAGAGTGTATCATTTAATCTCCATCTTTCTTTCTTTCCTGCTCCCACTCTTCCAAGTTAATTCTATTGGATTGTGGTCCACTAGAATCTTGGGTAAAATCTCCACTTTTCTCATTTTTGTAATTAAAGTTTTGGATATTCAGTACATGCCAATTCTTGAATATGATTGATGTCTGTCCAAAAAAGTACATAAAGTCTCTTTCATCTGAGTGAAGGGTTCGCCAAATATCTTCCATTTCTAAAATTGCTATGTATTTGAATACATTCTTTGGGAGTTTTCCACCAACATTTTTAGATCTGTTTTTTTTAGGATCAAGGTCCCCATTCATATCTCTGCATATCAGAATTTCACCTTTGTAGAAGTCTGACAGTGTTTGGTAGAGCTTTTCAAATAATTAATTCTTATTTTCAATTGGTGCATATATTGATGTCACTGTCCAAATTTGCCCTTCTGGTACTCTGATCTTCAGAATAAGCAGAGGTCATTTCGGGGGGGGAACGCGGGGGAACGCAGTTCCCCCGGGTGAGGTACAGGGGGCACATGATGAAGCCCCGCCCCCTGCTTCCGGCCGCCCTGCTTCCGGCCCTCATTCAGCCAGGAGGAGGCAGGAAAAGAGGGAGGGTAAGTTGCTTCCTCCCTGCCTCTTCCCACCCCTGCCCGCCTGGGGCCAGGGAGGGCCTTCACGGGGCTTCCTTGCACTCCTGCCGGCCTTGCAGGTCCACCGCCGGGCCCCTCATGGGGCTCGGCAGTGGAGATGCAAGGCCGGCAGTGGCGGCCGGGACCGTTGGGGGCGGGGTGTGTGGCCTTATGACACATTTCCGGTGATGTCAGGGGGTGTGGCCTTATGACACACTTCCGGTGATGTCAGGGGTGTGGCATATGCTAATGAGTTATGCTAATGAGTTCCCCTAGCTCTTTTTCTACGAAATGACCCCTGAGAATAAGATATCTTCCATTCTGGTCCTTTAATTCTTCAAGGTCTTCTAGGCTTTGATTATTGATATGTATTGCTATGCCTTTTTTCTTAGTTCACACAGAGGCAGTATAGACTTTACCCAATCTTACACAATTTAATAAATGTTCTTGATTTTTTTGATATTGGTTTCTTGGATACATAAGGTATCTCCTCTGAATGTCTTCAATTGATTAAAGGTTTTTCATAGTTTAGATGGAAAATTTAATCCATTCAGATTCACAAAGATTATTTTGAACTCATTTATTCCCCCCCTTTTTTTCTTTGTTTCCCCTTCCTCTTCTTTGGGTGAGGGCCCAGGGTCATCACATCCTGAGCTTTGATTGCTGTCATTCACTGTCAATTGCTGCAGGAGTTCTGCTGCCTGTTTCAGTGTTGTTGTTCTTTTATTACCTTTTGCTGGTAATTTCTATATGTTTGTATTTCTTATCCTTCAATTTTAAGTGGTCCTCTCCTGTGTTGTAATAAAATTGGCTTATTTCTTGCAGAGGAAATCTCAGTCCTTATTTTTTTGTATGTTTTCTTTGGTGTCTTGTTGAAGTTGAGTTAGCAAGCCTGTATTCTCTGGTTTGAGTTCGGTTGCCAAGGTTTTGATTTGTCAAAAGAAGGATTTCTCTAACTTTTCAGTAATAATATCAACAGGCCTGTAGCCTGTTCAATTTAGGGCACTTTTTAGAAAGTTGGAGGGCACTGAAATTTGTGCATGTCCCCCATGCGCAACCCATCTTCTTCCCCAAAACATTTAAACTTTAAATGCTTTGGGGGAGAAGCAGGGGAAGGCTGCATGCACACCTGGACTCCAAGCTGTGAATTGGGGGGGGGGAAGGGGAAAGTCTGCCCGCCTCCCCTTCCCCTCCCCAGCCAACCCATTGCAGCTGGCTGGCTGGGCGGGCTGGCTGGGCGGGCAGGCAGACATGGAGAAGATTGGGCAGGGAACCCAGGCATGTTTAAAATGCCTTTCTTTCCCTTCCCCATCAGGGGAGGGGGGGAAGGCATTTAAACCTCCCCAGGCGGGGGGGGGGGTTCTGCAGGCCTTCCCTGGCACTTCGGCCTTGGCAGGCGGGCCAGGAAAGGCAGGGGGGGGTGCCCCTGGGCTTCTTACTGTCGGAGCATTGTTCTGCCATGCTCCAGCAAGAAATGTTTAAAAATTCTTCTAAAATAGTTGTCTCTTAAGTTCAAGCCAATTTTTTGTTGTTCCAAGTAAAAAACAATTATAGCTTTGTAAACTTGGGGTATTTTTCTATCCCACAAATATATTATCCAGGTTGTCAGGAAGGGCTGTATCTCTGCAGAACACTTAAAATGGTTCTTTGGATCACATTTTCCTTAAAGAACTCCTGGGATATTTTTTACTCCAGTATATTAAATAGTGGTAGGCTCGCCAGCTCTGAGTTGGGAAATACCTGGAGATTTTTGGGGTGGAGCCTGAGCAGTGGGTGTTGCCTTCTGACACACTTCCGGTGATGTCGGGGTGTGTGGCATATGCAAATAAGTTATGCTGATGAGTTATGCTAATGAGCTCCTGCACCTCTTTGGCAGAAGTCTGAGGGGTGGATACTCTGTATTAGGAATGCAACAAATGCTTAGCTCTAAATGATCCATTGCCTGAGAACAGGTTGATCTTAAACAAGTGAAACTGAATCTGAACTGAGCATTTGAATGAGAGTCAGACTATATCTGATGGCATCCACAGGTCAAACCTATGGATGCCATTGCTGGTTTTAAAAGATTTAAATATGCTGCAGGTGAGTATGACAAGCTGAGGCACTCTTGTTGTCACACACCCCTTTTCAAATTGTGTATTCAAAGAGACAAGAATGCCTCATCCTGCCACACTGTGGACACAATCAAGATCAAGCCCTCACAATATTTTAAAATATTTTTAAAATGGCAGCAGCATTCACAGGTGGGACCAATGGACATTGTCATGTCTAGTTTGGCCTTGAGATTACAGCACTCCCAGTTGTGAAGTGGAGTGGGCTTGCCCATGTTTGTTATAATTAAGACTGATAGTACAAGCCTTATTTTCAGATTTAAATAATGTGCACATATAGTTTCTTTTGCCTTGCTTTTGTTCTCAACTACTATGACTATAAATTTGGGTAGAATGAGTTGTAGGTTCAGTGGGATTTGGAAAAGTTTATCTGTGCCACATACAGATATGTGTCTTTCTCTGCAAATGTGTACACAAATACATTTCAAATTTGGCAGCATTTCTGTGCATTGTTCATCTGTTGTCTGCATTTGCAATTCCTTATTTAGGCATAATTAGTATATACTACAGGCACAATCACAGAACTATGCTCAGAAGCTGGAAGAAAACATGGTTTTTACTTTTTAATTTTTACTGAAGGTGCCTTGTTAACTTCCACAGTATACATTTATTATAAATTTTGGCCCTCAACCACACATGTGTGTTGGTAGTGTATGTATGTGCACACATATAAAATAATTAAACAAAACAGCAGTGGACTGTAAGTATTGCCTAGTGAGAGATAATACTGTAGACCTCTAATTGGCTCTCTCTAAGCTTCCAGTGTGACTGATTTCAGCTGTAGTATTACCAGTCTTGCTTCCACCAGCACTATTATCCCAGACTGACACTTCCATTACTCTGAACGGAGAAAGATGAACGTCACCTGTCAAGGGCTGGTTAATTGTGTTGCTAGATGTATGTTGCCAGGGTGCAGGTTGGACATTTATGAACATAACTGCTTCCTCTGATGTCCGCCATCCTTCAACAATCGATACTGCTCTTACAGTAAGCGCATAATTGAGTGAAGGCACTTACCACTGAGGGGGCTGAAGATGAGTCCATTGTGTGAGCTTCATTGTCCATACATTTACCACAAATGAGCTGATATTTGCTCTATATTGTGTGTTGTGCTGCGGAAATGGAAACTAATGTGCCACTTTCATTTGTTTTCTAGATAAACGGCCAAGATGTCCAGAACAGGGAGGAGGCAGTAGCATTGCTCTCCAGTGACGAATGCAAGAAAATTGTGTTGCTGGTAGCAAGACCCGAGATGCAGGTAAGAGTAAACAGATGCATTGAGAAAAGACTAGTTTGAAGCCGTAGATAATGAACAACTGAAAAATAGCAATGCAGAGGTTTGTGTCAAAGTGGAGAAAATGAAAATAAATAGACTTTACTATTTCATAGCTAGAGACATAAACAACATTAATGAGAGCTTGATTATCAATGAGTCTCTAAAATCAAATGAACCTACACATTATCTACCTGATATTCTAATGTTAATGAGATTCTTAACAAAAAGAAAGAGAGAGGTTAGGAATTCATTGTTGATTTTTTTTCATTACTGTGCCAGATGGTGCTGTATTTACTCGAAAGAAAGATGACCATGAATTTAAGACCCCTCCCCCAGTGTTATATATATACACAGATACACACTAATTATTATTTGTGTAACTGTAACTTGTATGCAAACTTAAGACAAGTACCTCTTTTTCATGGCAGACTTGGGGGGGGGGGATGTAGTCTTGCATTTGACCAAATTCTGTATTGCTTCGTTTCAGAGGGTAGCCATGTTGGTCTGCAGTAGAACAGTAGATCTGACAAAGTGAGCTTTGACCCTCAAAAGCTCACACCCCGATAACCTTGTTGGTCTCTAAAGTGCTACTCAAATCTAGCTGTAATTGTTTAGGGTCTGCTACTTTAGAAGTTGACTGATACGGGATTGTGGCTTTTTTTTGTATGGCATTTGACTAATATTTACAGCAAGGTTCAGATTTCTACATAATACAATAAATAGATGAAACAATAAAAATTGTCTGTGTGTGTGTGTGTGTCCCATACTTTTCAAGCAGCATTTAAATGTTTAGCAAAAGGTGACTCTCTGCAATTTACAGAATCAAAATGTCCCTTTCGCTTTTATGAACATGTTTTGTGTGTGTGTGTGTGTTTGGGCAAAAGGAAATATTAGGCATATTACTAAAGAAGGAGATATAGTTGCAGAACTATTTGGGCTTCCTTTTATCCTGTTTTTAAACCCACAAAGCAAAAAGTACATTCTATTGACACTATTCAATCCATCTGTCATTGGTTGAGGCAAAGTTGGTTATATTGCCATTTGTCCCTCATGTTATTGATCTGATATCTTTCAGAGCTAGTAACTACACAATCTCTATAAATTACATCAAGTAAATGTAATTCAATGTCACCTGGAATCCCTCCTTGACTATAGTAGTTATACAAGATCACAGTTTGAAGCATATATTTCCTTTATAGTCCTGCACATTCTAAATGGCCCCAATAAAAGAAGCTGTATACCAGAGCAGAGGAAAGCAATTCACCTCAGGTTTATGTTGCTTGGATATGGCTCTTGTAGGCTTAGATAATTCTCCCAAACTATAAAAGGTTGCTGAAACAGCCCTCCTTATAGACTTAAGGGCTTTTATATTACTATGGGATACATCTTTGTGGATTCAAATATATAACAAACAGCCTGCCATAAGTCTGTCCTTGCCAATATGGAAAAATGGCCTTAAAGCAGAAGGATTGGGCAATACTTTCTAAGATATGACTTCCAGTATTCTTTCCTGGGCACAGAAATGAAGGTACATCTACTTTGAAGTACATCACATTAAGATTCCTGGCTCAAAGCTGCCTTTGCTGTTGCAAGCAGTCTCTAAAGGCTTTTTCAGTTTCTCTTTGAGGCCCAGTCCTGCTGTCCTCTAGATCATAGGAGATTCTGCCAGAGACAGCAAAATGAAACAAGAAGTGAGGGGAAATACTTTATGGACAAGGCTCAGTTCCCAGGATCTCCACTTAAAAGGATCAGATTGTACATGATATAAAAGACTTCTACTCAAAACCCCGGAGAGCCAGTGTGAGTCAAAGTATACAGTGGCGGCCGCAAGAGACCACTGGTCTGACTCAGTGTAAGGTAGCTTCATGTTTACATGACAGTCCTCCAAAAATGATCATCTGTAAATGTTCTTAAATGCACACCGAGAACACACTCATATTCTTAAACAGCTTGATCTTATGCATTTTTATGCAGAAATGTGTTCCACTGAGTACATTAGGATTTGCATCCAGATAACAACGTTTGAGCCCAGTGGCACCTTTAAGACCAACAAGTCTTAGTCATGGTATAATCTTTCATGTGCAAGCACACATCCTCAGATACCTGTGTGTGCTTGCACACGAAAGTTTATACCATGAATAAAACTTTGTTGGTCTTAAAGGTGCCACTGGGCTCAAACTTTATTCTGCTATTTCAGACCAACATGGCTAACCCACCTGAATCCTTCTTCCAGATAAGTATGTATAGAGCCACAACTGAAAATCAGAGGCTGACTAATTAAAATTATGATTCACAGCATAAACAATATCAGATACATCCAGGGGTCGTTTCGTAGAAAAAGAGCTAGGGGAACTCATTAGCATAACTCATTAGCATATGCCACACCCCCTGACATCACCGGAAGTGTGTCATAAGGCCACACCCCCTGACGTCACTGGAAGTGTGTCATAAGGCCACACCCACCACTCAGTTAGTCTTAGTCTTAAAGGTTAGTCTTAAAGGTGCTATTTGAACTCTTGGACTATTTTGCAGCAACAGACTAACACAGCTACCTCAGGGAAGCTCCTGGATGGGGCTGGGAGTCCTTGCGGAGGCCACGTGGAGTGGCCTCGGCCAGGCAGAGGGGGAGGATGCCAACTTACCCTCCTGCTTCTTCCTCCTTCTGCAACAGAATGAGGCTGGAAGCAGGGGGCGGCTGGAAGAGGGGGGCGGGGCTTCGTCGTGTGCCCCGCCCCCTGCACCTCACCCGGGGGAACTGCGATCCCCCCTGAATCGACCTCTGGATACATCTATATGGTTGTGTTAATTTTAATGAGTCCGCCAATGTTGGGGTATGTGACTGGTATCATTTCTCCATGGTTGGGGACAGAGAGAGGGTCTCGCCATGTTACCCTTTAGTATGCAGTGTCCCCAAGGGGTGATCCGCTCTCCTATGAGATTTAACATCTGTATTCACCCCTCTCTCCTATGTAATTTAACATCTATATGCACCCCCTCACCCAGTTGGTCTGGAGTTTCAGGCTGGGCTGTTATCAGTATGCTGATGACACCCAGCTATATCTGTTGATGGGTGGCCAGCCAGGTACTGCCTGTGGCTGAGTGGTTAGAGAAGAAGAAGAAGAGATTGGATTTATACACTGCCCTTCAATACCCGAAGGAGTCTCAGAGTGGCTTACAATCTCCTTTCTCTTCCCCTCCCCACAACAGACACCCTGCAAGATAGGTGAGGCTGAGAGAGCTCTTTTGAGAACTGCTCATGAGAAAACAGCTCTGAAATAACTTTTAATTGACCTAAGGTCACACCAGCAGCTGCATGTGGAGTTCTTTAAAACAATAATCAGGAGGGTATTACTTCTAAAATCTCTTGGCTGTCACCGCCAGGTAGGGTTTGGAAATTAGGGTTGTCACCGCCAGGTAGGGTTTGGAAATCTTCTGGAATTACTATGAATCTCCAGACAACATGCTAGCACGGTTCAATGTTCTCCCCTCCGCCATTCTTGAGGGGAGATATAAGAAAATCCCTTATGCAATTAGATATTGCGGATGCAATAAGAGAGAACTAGAAACAGTTGAGCATGTACTTTTACGCTGTAACCTGCTAAATGACATTCGAGCAAAATTTCTGGAAGTCCCCCTTAGCAAGGTTGCATGCCAACCGGATGGAAGCAAGCTACACTACCTCCTTACTTCCTGGGATTCGGAGATTATTGAATTGACTGCCAAGTTCTTTTATGCTCTTATAAAACGGAAAAATGTCCCTGATCATTCTAACTGAGATCAATGAGTTGCATAATTTAATTCAAGGTTCTGCGGTTGGGCAAATTTTATCTTGCTATAATTTTAAGCTTATATAAATAGCCATACCTTGTAATGCTTTTAGAAGTTATTTATTTTCCACAAATTTTAGAGGATTGTTTTACCCCAATGGCAACTGTTTAATATTTTATGCCAATAAAAGGTATTTGTTGTTGTTGTTGTTGAATCTCCAGACAATGTAGATTTGTTCATCTCCTTTGAAAGGTGACCTGTATAACATTATACCCTGAAGAGATGCCTCCACTCCCAAAAAAACCGCCCTTCTCAGGCTCCACCACCAAAATCTTCTGGTATTTCCCAAGCAGGAGCTGGCAACCCTAATTACCATTGCAACATGGAGCTCTGACCTTGCAGAAACAATTTTTCACTACCTATCACATTGTTAGAGTATCATCTTGACCCATAGTGACACTGAGGAACGGGACAGAGGTGGCAGGTGAAATGTCTAAAAACACTCTCTTTGGATGAGCTTACACACTAGTACCAAATCTGAAAATGCAATGCGTATTTGCCTTTTGACACAAGGGATGCAGGCATTGGCACCCCTCTCTTCTTCTCTGCAACTCTCACTTAACATTTGTTTATTATAGAGAGAGATTTATTCAGATCCAGAATGAAGATCTGTCTGTGTAAAAGTCCTGCCGGTTAAGTTTACCAAAACAGGCCTCATTCTGCCGTAGCCAAGAGATTTTAGAAGTAATACCCTCCTGATTATTGTTTTAAAGAACTCCCCAAGTAACAGTTGAAAAACAAAGTGTGCCTTATGGGCACCTTGTCAATCAATTATTCTGTTGTTCATGTTGTAGCTGCCATTACTGGAAGTTTACCTGAAAAAATCAATAGGACAAATGTGGTAGAAATATACAATGAGAGTGCTGTTGGAAATCCAAGCAATGAGACATGTTCCTACATAGAGGCTGTTAAGGAAAAAGAAACCAACCGTCTCATGGCCTTATATTAGTATCTCTAGATTCTTTTAAAACTGATGCTCTCAGAAGTAAAGAACATGACAGCTTCGGGGTTATGCTGAATGTCTTCTGCACATTTTGAAAGGAAATAATGTTCTGTGCGTACAGTCTCCCTCATTATGAGAGAAAAATCAGTGAGACTGTTTCAGGAAAAGATAAAAAGCCTGAGTCCAATTTTTTTTAATAATCTTCCCCCCCCCGCCTTTTCAAAAAGCAAGCTCCAAGACCTCAGTATTCTGAAGAGAGTCATTATTATAAAAAGAACTAGTGAGGCATTGCCATTTGGATTTCCCTTATTTTAAGCATGCATTTCCACTAACCTCATGTAATGTACTAATGTATTCTTTACAGCTGGAAGAAGGATGGCTGGATGATGAAAGGAATGAATTCTTAGAGGAGTTAAACTTAGAAATGTTGGAAGAGCAGCATAATGAAGCAGTGCAGTACACAGGCAATGAAGTGGAGCAGGTAGGCTCAACATAAAACATGTAGCTTGAAATGTTCTGAAGTGAATATTTTTAATAAACAGACAGTGCAATGAAAGAAAATAAGAAATTATATTCCTAGGCTTCACTACAACATTTCCACTAAGGTGCACAAATGGTAACAAATGAGAGTGATATATTTGGGAAGTAAACATGAAATATTAAGGGGAGAAGAGTAAGATTTCTTATTCACTCATGGCACTCCTATTATCTTAACTTCTCACCACATTAATTTGGCTTACTCCTTCTGCTCCTTCCACAATAATGTCCTGATATGTCACAAATGTTTTCTTTTTTATTAAGTTTATGTGCATACCATATCTTCAGTAATGAAGCACACATTAACTCTGCCTTTAAAAAAAGACAAAACGAACCTGATTTCCCAGGTGCTGGGGTCTTTCCCCCACACATGAATGCTATATATAATCAGGATGCTATTGTAATGTTCCAGGTGTAGTGTTCGAATCACAGTATTAACCGCTAGCAAATAGTCAGGAGAATTATAAAGCAGCTATACACACCTTTCATTTTGAAAGGGCCATTGAGAAAGTGATTTCTCTTGTCTGCGCTTGCTTCAGAATTCCACAAGTACCAACAGACGTCAGTTAAATTTATTTTATTTATTTATTTTTAAACATTTTTACCCCGCCCTCCCCGCAAGCAGGCTCAGGGCGGCTTCCAGGGGGCTACAGCCCATACATAAAATCCATAAAACTATAAAACATAGCATCAATTAAATATAACAATAAATAAATAATGTTTCTTAACAAGATGGTCTTCAGCAAGATGGCGTCTCTGATCTTCAGTCAGTCCAATTGGGGTGCCACTCTCCAGTAGGTATTAATGTCGCGCAGGGTAGGCCGTACATCCCAGGGTGATCCAAATCCCGTTGGAAATTCCACCGTTGGTGGTGGTGGTAGCGGCGGCCCCTACATAAAAGCCTGGTGGAAGAGCTCCGTCTTGCAGGCCCTGCGGAACTGCACAAGGTCCCGCAGGGCCCTGATCTCATCCGGGAGCTCACTCCACCAGGTAGGGGCCACCACTGAGAAGGATCTCGCCCTGGTCCATGCAAGTTTTACCTCCCGGGGGCCCGGAACCACCAACCGGCTCTGGGTCCCCGACCGAAGTGCTCTTGGGGGTATATGCGGGGAAAGGCGGTCCCTCAGGTAGGTCGGACCCTGGCTTTATTCTCACCCCTGTCTCCTCTTCCTTGGCAAAACCAGGAAATGGCCCCTCTGCTTCTTTTTGTCATCATCCTTGGGATCAGTAAATCTTGTGGGTATGTTTCACTTTTATTTCCCTGACATCCCAGCCTTCATTCTGTTGAGTTACTGGAATTTTTATTTATTTACTTTTTATTTTATTGGTCTTGTATCCTGCCGTCCCCGCAAGCAGGCTCAGGATGGGTTCCATCAGTCTCAATACAGTACACAATACATTTTAAAAACAATTTAAAACAGCAATATAAAACAACATTACTCTTAAAGAGCCATATATAATTTAGCCAGATGTCTCAGCAGTAGATGGTTCCTGGATCCAGGCCACCGAAAGAAGATCAACCGGGGGGGGGGATGTCCGCTGCCTCAGTCAAAAGCCTAATGGAAGAGCTCCATTTTACAGCCCTGTGGAATTGTAATAAATCCTGCAGGGCCCCGATCTCATACGAGAGCTGATTCTACCAAGTAGGGGACAGGGACTACCAAAAGATGTTGGTTGGTAGACCTCAATGCTCTACGGGGCTCATATGGGGAGAGGCGGTCCCAAAGATATGCTGGCCCCTCACCGTATAGGGCTAAATATCCCAACATTCATAATAATTGGAAATATTCAGTACATACCAAATATACTGTGAATTTCAAATACTTCCAGATCCTTATTGCACATCCCTAGTATTCATCTGATAATTGTGTGTGCGTGCACTGTCAAGTCACAGCTGACTTATGGCGATCCCGTAGTCCTATTGTTTAGAAGAAGAAGAAGAGATTGGATTTATACCCCGCCCTTCACTACCCAAAGGTGTCTCAGAGTGGCTTACAAACTCCTTTCCCTTCCCCTCCCTACAACAAACACCAGTGAGGCGGGTGGGGCTGAGAGAACTCTGACACAAACTGCTCTTTTTCAAGGACAGCTGTGCCAGAACTTGTGACTGACCCAAGGTCACATCAGCAGGTGCAAGTGGAGGAGTGGGGAATCAAACCCGGTTCTCCCAGATTAGAGTCCGCACACTTAACCACTACACCAAACTGGCTCTAGTTTAAAGACTATGCCGAACTTGCTGTCTTAGAACAGCCACCATCTTTGTCGGGGAGGAGGATTGGCAGAATATGGTAGAGTGTCCTATGTTATTCTCTACCCCCTGTGTTTGTGAGTTCAAGTGCAGAAGAGCACATGTTTATGTGAAACATAAATGTTTTCATTGAAAAGACAACTCAGTATTGAACAGTTTTATGCTGTAGCTGATAGATCATTCTAGCTGTGCTAAATTCTGTATAGCAGATTGAGAGGACTGTGTTTCTTCCATCAAATGGTGATTAGAAAAGCCACTGTGCAGTAATATCCCAGTTTGTGGGTAGAGGTCTGGGAGTCCAATGGATTGTTTTGCATCAGGTTCCGTATGATTCATTCCCAGGGCTCAAGCCTAGAGTATATGCCATGATATGTATAAAAAGAGTTTCACTTAGCACATGTGGAAGCTGTATCCCATACTTCTAGGGGAAATTATTTTCAGGATGGAAGGCATGGCAAACTTGTAGACAAACTTTAGCCCTGCCAACTCTCATGTTAGAAATCTCAAAAGTCTTGCTTTGTTGAAGCAGGTGGCATGAGAAAGGCCAATACATGCCAACACAACAGTTCAACAGTGGGAATTGGCATGAAGATCAATCAGATTGTAACCTTGGCACGGGAGAATTTGATGATAGACACCTTGAAGTGCTCCCTTCACTCAGAATTTATCATGTAGATACTTTTTGCCAACTTTCTGATTTCATTTTTAATTTAGTTTACACTCGAGCATACTTTAATTGCTTTTATTCTAACTTTGGTGACCTATTGGCATCAATCTCTTCTAACAACGGTGCATAAAAGACTAGCTGGTGGGCTTGTGCTCTTGAAGGTAATAATGAGGCTTTTGTGTGTATGTCGCTAATTTCCCCCCCTGTCCATCACTATATGTCTGGATAGAGGAAAATAGCAATTACTAACGGAGTAGCCAACCTCTTTGAATCTGGTTCCCTGTTACTAGTATGCTGCATTTCCCCCACCCATCGCATTTGTTATTACTAGCCATTATGCTTAATTATGTAATTATACCTCTTAAAGGAGAAACCACATTTGCCTGGTGCTATGTGCACTTAGATTTATTGTAAATAGACTATGTGCACTTCGGATGAGAAACTGGGTAAGTGAAATGGGACAAAAATGCCTTCAGCTCTACTATTCAGTCTGAAAACCCTGCACCTCTTCAGTGCTCTGACAACTAATGCTTTTTGCATTAAAAGGTGCAATAAATAAGTGCAATTAATGCAGGGTGAGTTAAAAGGGATCCATAAAAATGCTTGACCTAATGCCCAAAGTAGGCAGACCATTTTGTTTTAACTATATGGAAACCCAGCATTTAAGTTTTAACTCTTTTAATGTTTAACTCTACATTTTCTATGTAGAAAATCCAGTGACACACATAACATTCTTTTGGGGGGCATATTCAAACCCAGGAACATACATTAGCAGGAAATTAGGGATCAAGATAAAGTGCTAGTAGCACATTACCCAGACTGCAAAATAGGTAACCTGCCATTTGGGTCGGTGAGTGACTGCCAGCTGTGCACTAACACTGTAGCTAGTGTTTGCACTAGACTTGATTTTTAGCAGAGCTAGAGCCACAGGGCCCGTTTACACGAGGTACATTTGCCAGAGTCAGTGGGAATATTCATTGTAGTATCCACCAAAGGACAAATATTACTCCTATTACCATTCCACATAGTAGTGGAATGCATAACTAGTGTATTTGAAATGCAGCAATGGGAAATCACAATTTGATTTCCTTATGGGATAAACAGTTACCACAGCCTTTCCTTGTGTCCAGTTCTGTCTATCAGAGGGATTTGTTAGCTTGATACACAAAGTCTAGGTGGAGAAATATTGGTTGATTGTACATCAGAAGGTGTATCTAAGTATAAATGTCAGTGCTGGATTGCTTTCAATAGAATGCACATATTGATGTATATTTGAATGTGTATCCCCCCCTACAAGTAATGATATTGCATGCGCTAGCCACCACTATAACCCACATCCCTTTTCGAAAGTGCATCTTCAGGAAGAAAACTCCTACACTACACACATATACAGAAGTTGTTAAAAAACAAGAGTTACATGACTGTCCTCAGACTTTGTTTGGATATATGTGGGCATTGTCCAAAAGATTTTTGAGGCAGAAAACTCTTCAGAAATAAGGGGGCAGGTTTCACACATCCAATTCAGCAAATACCCCGTATTTCTTTGGAGGGTTTTGTCCAATACCATATGGTGATAGTAAACAGGTTGTATTTATGAGGATAGTTTTGTGCCAGTCCTGGTGCATTATCTTGTATTCCATCTACATGTACAATGGCTACTTTCCATTTTAATCTACTCTATCTTATTGGCCCACATTTATCAGAAGTTTTAAATCTTCTTAGTGAGGAAGGCAGGATTGTCATACACAAAGCCGTACTTGCTTGACAGTGGCAAGGTTCAAGGATGAGTTTATCAAAATGAGTTAAGTTGATTGTTATGAAGAGGTACTAAAGAAATATTTGTAGCATCCTTTTGAAATACGGAATCTGCATCTATGCATTTTATTACAGAAGTCTGTGACTAGTACAATAAAATCTGGATTGTTAATCCAAAGCAAAACAAAGCCATTTATCTAGTCAACTGCTTCCAAGAACTGCCTTGTTTCAGTTTAAATAAAATACATAATTCTTATCTTCATATTAAAATTCAGTGTGGGCCATTCATTCTAAGGCATTTTAATGCCTACAGTTGTGGAAGTGGTGATCCATATTTATCATATAAGAATAATTCATGCAATCCTGATCTTTGAGTTACTTTGTTGAGGAGGTGTAAAGAACAAAATGTCCTTTATGCCCTAGGATAGACAATGAGGCTGACATTGATATCTGCATCGGTGCTATATAGCACATGTGCAGCTGAGCATAGTGTGCTGTGTAGCTGTAATTGGGGCAGAACTGTGTAGTGGACAGGGAGTCACACATTTAACAATGTAGCTCCTAGATACTATTTAGAAGCTCTTGGACCTGTAATTATTTGTGTATCTCTGCCTTAGATGTTTAGTGGTAAGGTGAATGAAAGGGATGGAATTAATTAGAAACGTATTACTAGATGTGCCCCATTTAGAAAGAATAAGATATAGGGTCAGTGCAGTAACTTGAATTGTACTATGCACAGATACAACCAAAGGGGGAAAATGAAGAATTGTTCGATGAATGCTTTTAATGCTTTTTTACTTTTTTTTTAAACCATGTAAGGCAAATCACTATTATTCCCTTTTTACAGAAAGAACAACTAAGGCAGGAACCATGCAATTTGCCCCAATAAATTTATATTTGAATTCAGTCCTGTCCCTGCTAGTCCAAATTCGGTACCCCTTTCCCACTGCACAGTACCAACTAATTCCCATAAACATGCAGGTGTTTATATTATTTTAACTATGAGAAAACAGGAAGATGGATCTTACATGTAATGACTCTGTGATGTTTAGTGATCATGACCTGTTTGTTTTCCCAGCGAAAGAAACATGAGGAAGAAGATGGCACCACAGACACTGCTACCTCATCATCCAATAACAATGAAAAAGACAGTGGAGTGGGACCCACTGATGAGAGTCAGCGCAATGACGAAAGCTCAGAACAAGAGAATGTTCCAGAAGAGCAGAATACCACAACCCTCCAGAGCCAACAGGAGCTTGGAAAGAGTCAGGACACTTTGGGAAGCATCGAACTCCAGTGCAAAGAGAGCCTAGTGTCTGGTGAATACATCGAATCGGATAGTGTTACAGGTAACCAGAATGAGGACTGTGAAAGGTTTCGCCAACTGCTGGAGCTTAAGTGCAAGATCAGAAATCATGGAGAGTATGACTTGTATTACTCAAGTAGTACAATAGAGTGTAACAGAAGACAAAAAGATGGGGTTGAGCATGAATTGCAGTTGCTTAACGAGGAACTAAGGAACATTGAGCTGGAGTGTCAGAACATTATGCAAGCTCACAGGCTTCAAAAAGTAAAAGATCAATATGGGGACATTTGGTCATTGCACAGTGGTACATTCAGGAATTTTAATACCAGCATAGACCTTCAAGGAGGAAAACTGGATGACATTATAGAGCACCCAGAAAAATCCGACAAAGACACTTCCAGTGCTTACAATACAGCAGAGAGCTGCAGAAGCACTCCACTAAATGTAGATCGATCTCCTGATAGCTCTCTCCAGAGAATGATCAGCATTACCAACAGGAAAAATCTGAGGAGTACCATTGTGGCTAACCAGTTTTCTTCAAGACAGAATAGCAGGGATACAACCCCAAACAAAACCAAAGCTACTGAGCAAAACAGTTCTCTCGAAGAAAAGGAAACAGTTTCAGAAAGTAGCAAATCAACAGAGCAAGAAAGGCAAAGCCCTGAGCATATTCCTTATCTGTCCCCATACCATAGCTCTTCATACAGGTATGGGAACATACCCACACATGCTAAGCATTATCAAAGCTATATGCAGCTGATCCAACAAAAATCTGCAGTGGAGTATGCCCAGAGCCAGCTTAGTTTAGTGAATATGTGCAAAGATTCACAGAAGTGTACAGAGCCCAAGATGGAATGGAAAGTGAAAATAAGGAGTGATGGGACAAGGTATATTACAAAAAGACCAGTAAGAGATAGAATCCTTAAGGAACGTGCCTTAAAGATTAAAGAGGAACGTAGTGGGATGACGACAGATGATGATACAATGAGTGAAATGAAGATGGGTCGTTACTGGAGCAAAGAGGAACGGAAGCAGCACCTAGTGCGAGCCAAGGAGCAGAGACGACGTCGGGAATTCATGATGCGTAGCAGGTTAGAGTGTCTTAAGGAGAGCCCTCAAAGTGGCAGTGAGGGCAAAAAGGAAATTAATATTATTGAACTCAGTCACAAAAAGATGATGAAAAAGAGGAATAAGAAGATATTGGACAACTGGATGACCATCCAGGAACTTATGACACATGGTGCTAAATCTCCAGATGACACAAGAGTGCACAATGCTTTTTTATCAGTTACTACTGTATGAAATCAACTGTTCTGAAAAAACAAGCCTACTACCAGTTTTGGTAGAGTACGATTGCCTCGTTGAAAGTGGCATTTTTATATATTTTGTGACTGTTTATATTTTGATCTTTTTTGTAAGCAAATTATTTGGTAATTTTGCATTTGTTTTTCATACAATAGTATTTTCTTTAACTGATAATTTTGCAGTCTTTCTTTACTCTGTAATATATTCATAATATTCCTTTCTATTTAAGAAAAATCCAAAAAGGGAGGAACTAATTACTTTCATAACCAATTTTATGTACCGGAAGTTAAGAACTGGGTCTTTTCCTCTAGTTTTCTTTTTTAATACTTAACTAAAACTCCGATGCCAAAACAAAACTGCTTTATACTGTCTTCTTGCTTAATGGCAGTTTAAATTTTATACGTAGTAGATTGCATTTGTTCATAAATCACATACCTCATCTCCTCATGAGGCTTAAGAATGACATTTTGCTCAACAGCACACTGTACAGTTAATTTAATTTTAAAATTGCAATTGTCTTAGTCCAAGTAAAGTGTAAGTGAGCAATCCTCCTGTGATATGTAATGGCATTGGTCGTGTAGCTAGATAATCTGTGGTAATTGTGAAGATCAAAGAGAAATAAATTATTTCTTATCTTTAAGAACAAATATTAAGGGCTGCTTTGATTTTAGTTTAAGTTACTCCTGCATACATGATCTTTGAAGGCTAGGTCAAAGGTATTTGTTTATACATGATGAATATTCATGTGGAATCCTTATTTATTTGTCCCTCACAGTTTTTTAGCAGATTTCCAACAGTACAACTATGTTCAACAGATATCATCTGGAGACAGGAGGAGGGTGGGATATAAATCGAAATGGTGATGATGATGATGATGATGATGATGATGATGATGATGATGCTAATTCTGTAGAACAAACATATAACTCATACACATTTTCCATCATTGATCTCTTGATATAATACAAAACCCATGTACACCTTCATGCTTGTCCTTTTGATGCTACTATCACATGTTCTGGATTCTCACAGTGTCATTACATATGTTTGTGATGGGCCTGTACAGCTGTTGAGAGATATCTTCATAGCATATTAAGGTGTGAATTCTGGTAGCCTTAGGGCCAAACTACACCTTCATGTTTTTTACGGAGAAGGATTCAAGTTCCACAGTCCCAACTCAGGTTCACCACAGCCACACAGCAGCTGCAGAGAATGGCTTTTTTAAAAAAAATAAAAGTGAGCCCAAACAGGCTCAGAATGCCACCATGTGGGAAGGAAGGGCTCCTGTCTCCCTCCAAGCTGTTTTCCTGCATGGGGGGGATTATGTACCCTTTTTGGCACTCCGCATGCACTATATACTCCACATAGAGCAGCAAAAAACAGGAGAAATTAACCCCCATGTTGTTTCTGCAGTGGAAAAATGGCTTGGGAAGGAATACTGTGCCATTGTGGTGGCATTCCCAGCCCATTTGAGCTCTCCTTTATTTTTTAAAAAGCCGTTTCCTACAGCTGCATGGCTTCAGAGAACCCACAGGTCAACTGGACCTAATTCTTTAAAATACAAATGCTCTCAAACAGTACTGCAAATTGTGGATCTGATCCAAGCTTGGTGTGCACTCTGATACATCTTCATTATGCATAGGCATCTCATTGTTAACATCCACCACTAGATTTACTCATATGATGCTGTGTATCAGATAACTAAACATCCATGTGTTGTGTTTCTTAGGTGTACATCTAAGAATTGTTGTAAGTGCACATCTAAATTTGTGAAGTGAAAATGTAGCAAGCAGGCTTGGAAACACAAGTACACTAATCAGAGTGCTGGTATTGTTAGTAGCTCTCCGTAGATTATAGACTCAAGAGCAAACCTGGGTTTCTGGCTTGTGACAGCCTATCCAGTTTTCCAGGACTGAACAAACATCACTTATTAATGGAGAATTATAGTGGGGAGTACTAAAGCATGAGAAAATAATGTGATTTTCCTAAAAAAAATTTGCGGACTTAATTTTCAGGCTATACCAGTAATGAGCCAAGCGCAATCAGAACATGAACTAATAACTCTAGCAAAATTTGCCACACGAAAAGAAACTTCATTCTGTAATAACACATAGACATCAGTATGTAATTGAGAAATGTTTTGGAAAAAGAAGTTATACTTTCTAGTTGAATAACATTTTTCTTCTTCTTTCCCTTCCTGGAGGAAAATTAGTTTTTGCTTGCAAACCCCCCCCCCCATTTTTTCACATAATATCAATGGCAACATGAAATGTGTCATGTCTTTTTCTTTTTTAACAGATCTTCATGCTAAAAGTGTTATGTTCCACTTTAAAAATCGACATTGGTTTCTTTGAAAAAAAATTGCTTTGAAAGGAACTGCAAAAGATGTGTTGATTCTTCATTCTACTGTTAAAGAATTATGAATGTCTGTGACCAAAACAAAACGAATATTAAAAACAACATTAAGGCAGTATTTCTTGGTTTCTAAGCCCGGTTTGTGACTTTGTGGAGTTCACTCAAAGCATTTACATTGCTGTAGTTTGTATGAAAATGTTGTTGATTTACATGCATGTGATATCTGCAGGTTACCTGTTAGCCATTCAGTTCATTAAACATTTTCTGTTCTCTGCATTGATTAGTTTGCCAGTCCTACATAAACCGGCAGAATGACTGAACAGTTACTTTGCTATAAGCTGCTTTGCAGAAGTGTTGATAGCATGCTGCTGCTAAAATTAAATAATCATAAAAGTCAACAGATTAAAACATTATCCAAACCACAATAATTAACAAAAGTTTAAAATAAGAAATGGGCATTTAACCTATTGTAAACTCAGATTAAAACATATCAAAACCCTTGCAAAACAGGTTTTCACTCCTTGCAGAATGCCTGTAATAACTGGACCCAAACACACTCAGAACATAGAGTTTCAGAGCAGTGGCGCAACTATGAAGACAGCCCTGTAACTCCAGCCTTCCCTGCTCAATCTGATCTGCCTCATCTGCCTGTGGGCACTGCCTATAACTACTTGGCATTAATTACTGACAGGAAATGTGCCCTCCCTGATGTTGTGGCAAGCACTTTTGTTAGAAACTTTGAAGCTGCCATTAGGGACTGTTTTTAAGTACCTAATTTTACCTAGACATGTTTCATGTTTTTATGAATTTGCCATTTATCTTGTTGCAAGCCACCATGATCCCACTTGTGGGATAGGGTGGGATATAAGCTGAATAAAATAAGTAAATAAAGTAATAATTAAGGGCAGCCGTGTGTGAAACACGTTGCAGAGGGATTCCCCTATCATCAAAAGAGTAACGATGCAATTACATGACAGATTTGCAATGGGAAATGTCACCACTGGTAGCCAAAAAACAAAACAAAAACCTTCTCTGTAAGTTTCTAATGGTTACTTAGTTTTATTAATTCTTGGGAAGTAGACAAAATTCCTGTCCTCTAGGTAATAGCTGTATCTTAGTAATGTAACAAAGGCATGTACTTATGACACAATTATCATGGAGAAATTTAAGAGCTTTTTTCCTTCTGGAGGTGACATTTTCATATTAAAAATAATAATGCTAAATTTATCCAAATAGAATGCATTTACTGATTACAGAAATGTGGGTGGAGGAAGAGTGTAAAATGATGAAAAAAGTGATTTTGCTACCATAATATATGGGACAGTACTATCTTAACAGTGCTATGCCTGTATAAATCCATTTAAGTCGCTTTTAGTTGGCAGCTTGTGCTAGTAGGGAGAACTATCCATATTATAAGAAGGATTCTAAATTCCGAAACCTGTTTTAATCCAACACCAAAACCTGTTAACCTCTCATCTAAAGGGACTCTTTCACCTTTAGCTGCTACCTGACAGAAATGATCAATAGTTAACAGTAAATTTCTTACCATATTGGTCTTATCATGGGAGAAACTGCCTATCTCTGCTATGTAGCATTAAAATGTATAAGAGTCTCTTTGCATTAAGAGTTAACAATCTAAAGGACAGGTGGCCTTTGCCTTGGAAAAATGTCCTTGGTAGAAACAGCTGCCTAATGTATCCAAAGGGCATTTTTCATGTTGATAATGTCATGTGGCTATAGCAAGACTTTTTAAAGAATTGTTTATGTTTTCTTAGGGCTTTTATTTTCCACCTGCTAATCATAAGTGCTCTATTAATACAGATTTTATGGCCCATCCTCTATTCTAGTTCATTAAATGCTTAAGGGGGGGAAAGCAGTTTGTCAGGCTATGATAAAGTTAAGCATGTGCTTCAAACTCACAGTGTTGTGATGTAGGTGCATTACTATGTTAGATGAAAACAGAAAATTAACTAAACCATTGTGTTAAAAGTAGTTTGTAAAAATAGATTTTGTTCCTTGTTTTTGCCATGTTGTATTTTAGCAACTATGGTTAAAACAAGAGTTCAGAAACAGCAAATTATTTCCAGAATGCAACAATTTGTGCTTAAGGAGCACCATCTGGATTTAAGGAAAATATCCTATCAATAATTGTCTTGATTTGCAGATTTTGACCAGGAAGATAGATCCCCACTAAGCTGAGATGTTTCTAAAGACTTGTGGAAGATTTACTTTTTTAAAAAATGGATACACTGACAATGTGGAAGCAAGTTATTGCACTCCTCTGTTATTGACTGTACTGTTCAAGAGTACTTTCCTTCAACATTTGCAGATCTAAAAAGTGATAATATGCCCTTTTCCTGGGAATATAGCAGTCCCTGTCCTAATTTCATTTTGTGACCTGTGCTAAAAGGAAAGCTATAACAATTTTAAACCAATATTTTAAAATATGCAGTAATTTATAGCATGTCTTTGTATTTATAAGAATTTAAGAAGAGCCCTGCTAGATCAGACCAATGGCCCATCTAGTTCAGCATCCTGCCTCACGTGGCCAACCAGGATGGCCAACAACAGGCCTTCCCCTGATGTTCCCTCCTGGCTCTAGGATTCAGAGGATTAGTGCCTCTGAATGCGGAGGTTCCCCG